GTCTTGTTTAGGCACCTGCTTGACATAATCCCTTGGGAGACGGTCCTGAAGGGTATAGGGGCCCAGGAAGGCTGGGTGCTCTTTAAGAAGGAAGTGTTAATGGCTCAGGAGCAGGCGGTCCCCAGGTGCTCTAAGAGCAGCCAGCGACAGAGAAGACCACCCTGGCTGAACAGGGAACTTTGGCTGCAACTCGGGGAGAAAAGGAGAGTTTACAGCCTTTGGAAGAAGGGGCTAGCCACACACAGTGATTACAGAGAGGCTGTGAGGCTATACAAGGTTGAAATCAGGAGGGCTAAAGCCCAGCTGGAAATAAATGTGGCTTCAGCCATCAAGGACAACAAGAAATGTTTCTATAAGTATGTCAGTAGCAAAGGAAAGACCCGGGAGAGTCTCCATCCCCTGCTAGATGCAGGGGGAAACCTGGCAACAAGTGATGAGGAAAAGACTGAGGTGCTTAATACCTTCTTCACCTCGATCTTTAATAACAAGACTAGTTGTTCTGAGGGAATTCAGCCTCCTCAGCCAGAAGACAGAGACTGGGAGAACAGCCCCCCCGCCCCCCCCCCTCAATCCAGGAGGAGACAGTCAGTGACCTGCTGCATCACACAGACACACACAAGTCTATGGGACTGGATGGGATATACCCCAGGGTGCTGAAGGAGCTGGCTGGGGTGCTCGCCAAGCCGCTTTCCATCATTTACCAGCAGTCCTGGCCGACTGGGGAGGTCCCGACAGATTGGAAATTGGCCAGTGTGACGCCCACCTATAAGAAGGGTCAGAAGGATGATCTGGGAAATTCCAGGCCTGTCAGCTTGACTTCGGTGCCCGGGAAGCTGATGGAGCAGCTCATCCTGAGTGCCATCACACAACACGTGGGACAGCCAGATGCTCGGGCCCAGTCAGCGTGGGTTTATGAAAGGCAGGTCCTGCTTGACAAACCTGATCTCCTTCTATGACAGGGCGACCTGCTTATTGGATGAGGGAAAGGCTGTGGGTGTTGTTTACCTTGACTTCAGTAAGGCCTTTGACACCATTTCCCACAGCATTCTCCTGGCAAAACTGGCTGCTTGGGGCTTGGATGGGCACACGCTTTGCTGGGTAAAAAACTGGATGGCCGGGCCCAAAGAGTTGTGGTGAACGGAGTTAAATCCAGTTGGCGGCCGGTCACGAGTGGTGTCCCCCAGGGCTGGGTTTTGGGGCCACTCCTGTTTAACATCTTTATTAATGATCTAGACGAGGGATCGAGTGCACCCTCAGTCAGTTTGCAGATGACACCCAGTTGGGTGGGAGTGTTGATCTGCTCGAGGGTAGGGAGGCTCTGCAGAGAGACCTGGACAGGCTGGAGCCATGGGCTAAGCATCAGTGCATTTCAATGCACTGGCCATCATTTCTTGTTTAAATGAAGGGCTTGAGTACAGCATAAAAGACTCCACAGTTCATATATTTTTGTGAACTGAGCCTCCACAGATACATTGCATCTGTATCCTCAAAATTGATTCATGTAATCAAAAATCATATGTATCTTACAAATACAATAATAATGTATATAAATAGATACACAGCGATTTCTGTAACAAATGAACAAAATTAAAAGGGCAACTGAGAGAAAAATATAACTATATATTAAAAGAGTTTTGAAATGGTACCTAGACTTCATGATGTAAACTTAAATGATGTAAGAAGCAGTGACATAAAGTTTCAGTCTACCTTTAAGGAAACAATTAAAAATACTTAAGTTTTGCAACAAGAATGACAGTCATCATAGACCTGCCTTAAAAACTACTGGGCTGGTCTGTGCCCAGACTCTAGTCTAGTCTGTGCATAGACTCTAGTCTACAGACAATGACTTGGTACTTTTATCTGATGTTTCAAATGTTGCAAAAGGTTAAAACTTGTTAACAGAATTTGATCAGAACATCAGAGTTAAGGCTGAAAGAAAATACAAAGTGACACAGTGGACCCAAGATACCTGCAAAAAGTCTGCAGAGTTTTTTAACTACTTCAGAAGAAACAAGTGAAAAGAAGTAATTTCTGTTTCAATCAAAAGAGTTTTTAAGTTTTGTTAACAAGTGACTTGTATTTTTGCACCAAAGGACTTTTGTCTTCAGAGTCATAGCAGGTCTGGAGCCAGACTGTGTGCTTGCAAATCTTTCCTCTAGCTAGAGGAAAGAAAGAGGACGATGCCAGAATGCGCTCACTAGCCCCAAACAAAGAATTCAGAACTGTCAAAGCATTAGCAATCCTCGGTTCATGCTGCTTTGTTTCTGTTAGTGCAGGATATAAAAGCATCTCTGGCTGTATGTTTTGATAACAGAAATGAGTACCTTGTCATGTTCTAAATCAGCAACTGAAAGACTTCTTAAGTGAACGTGACAGTATTTGAAATGTCCCATGCTGCCACACTTAAGATATGCCAATCACAATTAATAGCAATGGATTTGCTATTCCAAAACAAATAAAACCTGCAGAATTTTTCTGCTGAATGAAGAGCTGCTGAGAGAAAACAGAAGCAAAATTACAACGATAGCCAGTTAGCCTGTCAATGGAAATTACTTTCATTTGTCTGTATTCACAAGTGTTAGTAAACAATAATGCTTCAGCTAATACAGTTTTTGTTATATTCAAATTGAATGTGAAATACAGGCTGACATTATAAATAGATCTCTTACTCTTTTGCACTGGATTTCTGAGGTCTTCTGAGCCTTTACATTTAAATAATTTCTTAAGTTTCACATATTTTGGTATCAACCTTAATAAATAAGTGTCATTTTTCCTTCTAGCAAATTAAGGACTGTCCTGCTTGTTGTTTGAAGGAGAGATGTATCTATAGCTTCCCCTCACTCAGTAGGAACCAAGCGAATATTTTATATTATTCCAGTGGATTCTGAAGAGTTGTGCTGAAAATCCACTTGGTAGGGTGATGAGATCTCTCTGTAAATAAATGCCTCTCACCTTCCAAGTTTGGTGAATTCCTTTTTCTGAAGTCTCAAAACAGTTTTGGTGCTCCCAGCTGCCATGTCCCACCAGCGGGTTTTACTGAGTTGACCCTGTTACCATGGGAAGTAGATACAGGATCTCCTTGAACAAATTCCTTGTTTTTTGTTTTGCTTTGTTTTTCCCCCAGTGAATTCTGCTTTTTTGTCATCTTGTTCCACTTCTTTTCATCTAATTTCTTCCTCATCTTCATGTTTGATTCAAGGCTTCCCTTTAAGACCACCTCAAGCACTCATTTTCACTGACTAGCCAAAACCCCTTTTTCTTTGCAAGCTGCTGAGCAACTACTGAAGGGCTCCCTTGTGGGCTACTACTCTGGACCTGTGACTTACGAATCTTTGGGATACCAAGCAACACAGGCTTACTTAGACAGACATAAGGCAAACAATTCAGATAATAATTCATAAGACTGAAGTGTGTGATTAAATCAGCTTTGTCTGCTTTAAACCTTTACTGGGCAGTCTCCTATAAAGCTTTTAGGGACTAATGATGTTGGTAGTACAGCAGGGATGCTAAGGCTAATACCAAGCAATAAACCTATTTAAAATTACTTGCATTCATGCAGTAAAGAAACTAATTCACAAGTTTTAACCTATCCAGGCAGACAGATGTAATGAGTCTAGTTCTGTAACGGACCAACTGCTCTCTCACAGTTGGATTCCCTAAACGGTTACACTGGGAATATTCTGGACAGCAAGAAAAATTTATAAACCCACCCACATACATTCAAAAAATTTGTAGCTCTTGCCTGGCTCTGAAGTCTTTGGTTTTCTTTTAAAAAAACCCACAGCAAACAAAACAATCTCTTCAGCTTTCCTCAGCTGGCCATCACTGCTCAATGCAAATTATAATTTCAGAAGTAATGACTCTAGATCAATGTGTTTAAAATCACACCTCTTGTGGAAATTCGTCTCTTTGGCTTCTTTTCTTTTTTTGGATGGTGGTGTTAATTTAGCTTTTTTCCCTTTTAGGATTTTCATACTCGATTTTCGTGCATACCTTTAGCTTTTATGGATGTCATCTGATTGTTTCTAACAGAAAATAATGTAATTTCTGAATTACCGGTTGCCAGTGTTCCATAAATATGATACTTTTACCTACAGCATTCCATCCAAATTCATGTTAAAATATAAAAAAAACTATCTGGGTGTTTGGAGGCTGCAGTGGCCATGGGTCTTTGTAGAGCAGATGCTCTGTGCAGTTATGAATAGGTGTACCTGCAGTGCCAGTAGTAACTGACAATTACATGGATATGCCAGAAAATATTAGTCCTGTTTTGTTTTCAAGTGTTATTATATAAATCTTCTTTGTTCTCAGATGAAGCTGTGTTTTCCTACTCCACTTTGCATTACAACCCTAATTTGTAGACCAGAATTTTAAGTAGTATATACCAAGCCAAGATCTGCAGTCTCTGATGTCTTTAGGATGCATGGTTAAAGCTCTGCCAGAAGAAGTAGATTGTGAAGGACTTGGGAATATTAACAGAATGGGGAAGTAGCCTGAGCTACCCCAGATGCTAGAGGGGTTTGAGAAAGCATCCAGGAAAGCCAGAGAAGGTTGAGTCTAAACATATAGGAAAACTGAGATAAATCAGAAGAGGCAGAAAAGCATAGCAGATACAAAAAAACCATTTAGCACTGGTGACTAGTCTAAATTTAGCTTAAAAGCCAAATCCCAACATTTTCTGTCTGCCTGTGTAAGAAGACAGCACTCACATTAACTATGAGTAATTTTACAGCAGATGATGAGAAATACTTTTTCTTCTTCCCCCCTGAGAAAAATCACCTTTCTCGAATTAGACAGCTATAATCAAAACAAGCTAGGAGGTAGTGCTCTAAACTTCTCATGGTTCCCACAATGCAGGGCAGTTGTCTTAGAAACCCTATAGCACAAGCACTCTCAGTCCCTCGCAAGCTGCAGGAGGTAGGCAGGGAAGGTGGTCTCTGTAGCAATGAGGAGAATATACAGGTTTTCTCTTTGAGGCAGTGTCTCCCTCTGACTCTTACCTTGTTGCACAAATGATCCGTACACAAACCACATGGAGTTGTAGAGGGTTGTGGAGGTCATCGATCCCATCTGAAGACGCGGGGGATTGAGCCAGTTCAACAGGTAGACCAGTAGCCCTACTAATAGCACAGTGCCAGCTATGCATGCCCACAGGGAGAGGTCAAACGGTGCCAAGCAGGCAAACATGTCCACTGTCTTCTCCGCCTTTCGGAGCAGCACACCCACTGAGTAGTCCATATAACGTGTTGTGAAGTCCACCACATTTTCCCTGTCGGGGGTGATGGTTAGGGCGGAGATCCCTATATCAGCTCTCTAAGGAAAGAGGAAGAGAGAACAACATGCATAAGTTGGAGCTACAGAAAACATCTTTGTTCCTCTGTGATTTATGGCAGCTAAACTTATGGAGAAGCAGAGGCCAAGTCCAATGTCTTAAGCATCATAGATGTAAACCCAGAAACATGACTAAGGCTTGAACAGAATAGCTGTACCACACACCTTAGTTTCTGCAAGCAAACATCACTTGGTAGACTTGGGCATATTATCTCGCCACATTGTTATTTTTCAAGGAATCAAAACACTCAAATACAGATCATAGCTGGAGGAAATCTACTTCTGGGCATTTTTCTCAGCCTGGCTTACTGAAGCCATCATAGTCATTGTGGCAGAAGGCAGACCTTGTGTAGAGCTTTTCCAATCAGAGGAAATTAGTTGCCTGACAGAGCCACATGATATCCATTTTGATGACATGATGATCATGACAAAAGGCCGCTGCACTGAGGGCACTTCAAGTTTTGAAAAACATCAATTCTGGCTGCAGAGTCTGAAGTGCAGAAGAGCAGATATTCCATGCAGTTCCTTTACTATTAATTCCTCTATATCTTCCTGCTAAGCAATTCCTCTCTATACCAAACCGTCCTGCAGCTATCTTGGACTTGCTTTTACATTTTTTATAATTTAAAGAACCCACTTCAAATGAGAAGAGGATGAATAACATTGCTTGATCTAATCATTGTATTTCACAGCATGTCTGGGTATTAGGTCTCCAGAGACACCAGGCACAACTACAGCAGGTGCTATTTTACTTTTCACAGGTACAATTAGAACTGCAATAAAACCAAGAAAGGATATTTAAAGCAGACATACTAATACCATTTTTAAAAGGCCAAATACTGAACAAAAAGACTGTAAATTCTAGATATTTTAATATGAAAAAAGAGTACTTACAATACTTTAAGCTGCTACTAATTTGATTTAATCCATTTCTGTTGTGCCTAAAGCAGTGTGTGGTCCTTTGGAAGGGGGTGAGGAGAGTACAAAGGCTTGAAAGTACTGTGTCAAATTTTATTAACTCTCTTGAATTTCTTTCTTCTTGCCCAAAGAAAGCAGAGATTACTAGTTCCTTAGAAATGTGATGTGAAATATTAAGTGGGAAGGCATGGCAGCTGAAACTGATTAGAATCAAATTTGCAAATCATCTGGGCTCTTTTAATGCCATCTGCAAAACACTCTGCAGCTCATGGTACAAACATCCTTTTAATCACAGTGCATTTAAGACATCAGTTTATGTGATGTTACTTTAACTTTATATTAATTGTTCACTGGTTTGAGAAAGTCACAAAAGATAGCTGGAGGCCTGATGATTCGGACGAAAAAGGGTTTGAAAATACTGATTTGCTTAAAAGGCATCAATTACGCCATCAGCTTTCATTTGTGGGTTAGATTCTCTAGTGTCTTAAGTGAAGCTGTGTTGATGTGCACAGCTGAAAGCATGGCTTTCTGAATACACTTCATGCCCCTCCCAACAATTTTTTGTGAGTGATGATTTAAGTGCCCTTTCCTCACAGTCAGTAGCAAACTCACTAAACCAAGTAAAAATTTCATCATAATTGTCCATGGAAACATTCAGATCATCTGAGTCTTTATCCTCTGATTATCAAACTTTTGGTCAACAAGTGACTCAAGTGATTCACCAGTATCAGCTAACAGTTAAGTCCTAGCTCCAGTGAGCAAGTTGCAAAGCAGTCATAATTTGAACTGTTTTCCACAATTGTGAATATAAATTCATTTTAAAAATAATTTACAAATGTAAAAGTCCAATGCTCTATACCATTGTCAAAACAGGAAAATGTGGCTATACTTAAACAATAGAATTGTTTGAGGTTTTTTTGTGAATGTATATCCAAAAATAAAATAGGAATTCAGGGTTAAAGGAGGACACATGAAAACAAAAAGTCCTAGACTTAGCCCCTGCTGCTTAACTTCAGCTGTGTTATTAATTACCAGCACGTTACTAAAGTACTGCCTTACTACACAACATTATTGTGAGGTGATAGTTCAAGTTGTATTTGTAAGATATCTGAGGATTCTCCACTGAAAAGCAATGTACATAAGTAAAGTTACTTTTACTAAATAATAGATTAATGTAGGACTGAATGACTAATATATTTTTTCTGCTTTTTTTCCTGTTTTTTTAAAGAGAAACAAATTTCTTCATGAAACACACTGAAGGGCACTGCATGAAAAAGCACAGTATGTGGTATTTGTGAAAATACTTCTATTGTACATCTCCAAGGAGCAGTCTCTTCAAATTCTCCAGCATAATAGTTCCACTCTGGTTACTAGCCAGCTATGACAGAGGAACAACATTGCCCTAATGGAAATGTTGCACTGCCTTTGTCATACTGCAGCAGCAATCATGATAAAATTATGTCCTGCAATTAAAGAGTGGTATTAAAGTAAAAAATAGAAAGCAGAGTCCTGACTCCTAAGTACTCCCATGTTCAGCTCTTTAAAAAAAAAAAAAAGTTACACTGAAATACAACTACTCTTAACTTACTAAATTGAATCATAAACATCAGTTTACCAGAAACCTACATTTAGCACAAAACCAAGCTTAAGTTAACTTAATATTTGATCTACTGACTGTGAGCATTCTTAATGAGGTACAGATTCTGTCAACTTGTATCAAAATTGGAAGATGAAAAACATTAAATGCTTGTCATTAACATGTCAAATTGGATCAGAGAAGACATCAGTTTGAAGAAGTCAAGGTTCACTTAGTGCTTCTGAGATAGAAAGGCAAGTGCATGTAATTATGTCAATATTTAGATGTAAAGCTGCCAATCTGAATTATAAACATGTAAAGCTCTCCACTAAGTTTTCACAGTGCCAGAATCAACCAACTATCAGTATCTTAGATGTCTGTTTAACACATTTCTGATGAATGAAACTGTGACTCCTGAAAATGACTGACTGAAAAAAACAGCAGAGGGCATTATTTTTCTTTACGTAACCTGCTTACGAATTTGTATTCCTTAACAGCAGTTCCCTTGAGGTCATTGTAGAGCAATGTTATCAGAATCAGAAAGACCAAATAAAATGACCAAATGGGTCTGATAGCATTGTTACTGGTGTCACAGAATCAACTCATCAGCAAAGCCTAGAAACCCCTGAAATGTCCTTGTGATATTGCTGAAGCAAGCACATCTCGTACGTATGGAAAGCAATCTAATGATGTTTCCTGTGGTTCCTGATCAAGAACAGGGAAAATACATGAATCTACTTTAAAGTGGTCTCATGAGACCTTTCATTTTACCCATTTTCAATGTTGAATCAAGTTTCAATAAATGCTGGAAGCAATAAATCACAGGCCCGCATGTTATGTAGTTATTAATATGGACAGGAAAAAATTAATGAGAGACATTTTTTCTCAAGTTAACACACATACACTCAAATAATTCTCCTTTTATTCAGCTATTATTTTTTCTTCTTACTTCATCTCTCTGTATGCTTTCTTCCTCCCTAAGCTACTCACCTTAGGAAGATGCATTAGAAAAAGAGCCTCATAAGAGGCTTCTACACGGCTTGCAGTTTCTCTTAGAAATGTTTAGGCATGTAATTAGTTTTCCTTCTCTGATGGATCTAAGTTGAATTGGGCAGTTTTCCCTATGTTATTTGCTTCCTGATGGCTCCTCACTGGAAGAAAAAGCCTAGCAATCAAGGTAGCAAGTTGAAATGTAGGAAATAATGGTTGATGGATATGAATATCACCAGGAAGCCCAGAGACATGCTGGAAAGCCTACTGTCCTCTCCCAGAAGTGGCATTAGCCACTTCTCTTGCCTGTCAAACAAGCTCATCCCTCTGGTAATGTGGACTTGAGGGCAACTAAAGGAAATGCTGTGAAAAGACACAGATCACTGAGATAACTGAGCAAGAGAAAGCACTGCTCCCCTGATATGATTTTAGCCTTTCCATAGAAAGCTGCTGCTCTCTGAACTAATCCTGTTTGCGAGTTGAAGCTCTGAGGGATGCACTGAAAGCCCCAGTCATTTGACAGGAGAAGGGCAAGAGCACCACGTGCTTCTATCAGAGTATTTATCCCCGATAGACATTCTGGTGCAGGCGCTCAGCAAACAGAAAGCTTTCCGTAGTATGGCTACATTCAGTCTATTTTGACAGAAGAAGGTGTATGGAGCAAGGATGTATCTAATACAGGTCTTGGCACTCAAAGAAGGGGGGGCTTGAATCAGTTTCCAAATTCAAATTAATGACCAGTTGCTTTGATCTGATGATTCCAGCTCCTGTTTTAGCAGCCAACAGGGACCTTGTCTTCGAAGCTGGAACAGAGTGAACTTGGCATAATGTCATTTCCACAAGGCCAGCTGTGGACCTAGGGCATGTACTTGGCACCGCAGGGCTTCTGCCCTGCACTGCAGCTCGAGCAGGGCTGCTGTAAGCAAGGGCAGCCTGGGATTGCTCTCCCTGATACCAGGACCTGTATCAGAGCCTGCTGCATGCTGAATCAGGTTAATGAAAACAGCATATACTGATCTTTAACATAGAAATAATGTGCTTACTACAGCAACTGCCATTTCATATGGAACATCTGTAGGGGCCACAGACATCCTTCTCAATGAGATGCACTGAAAAAGAGATGGCAGCTCTTTTCCATTACCCTCGAGTGGGACTTGTCCTTTGCAGAAATACATTGTTCCCAACTCATTTCTGGCTCACACAATAAAAGGCAAAGAGCACTCTCTCTGTTTCTGGATTTCGTCCATGTGTTGGCCAGACTATCATGTAAGACTTGATTGGGAAAACAAGGAAACACTCTGTTTTAAGCAGGTTAGATCTTTAATTTAAAACTGTTCTCTGCTCCTTTGCTTCCCCTTACAAAGTTGCCAAGCAGATAGATATCTGGGTTCTGGGAGCAGAACTCAGTTCACAGTAAATAAGAAAGCAGCCTTTCAAGAACAGCTTGCACTTGGTAAGGGGTAGATATACACTGGCTGTTTGCCCAAAGGTTCTCTTTTGACTTAAGAGGGACAGAGAATAGGAGAGAAGGACACAGTGAACCTTTACTGTTAAAATAAGAAAAATAAAATATTACATTTTTAAAAAAAAATACCCAACAACCAAACACGTTTTTTGAATTCCAAATTCAGGTCCATTATCTCTTCATACTTTCTAACTGTATAGAAAGATTTTATAGTCGTTAAGACTCATTTACAACAAAACTGTAGCAGACTGGTAAATCAGTTCCACTCATGACATCTGTTTACAGATCGAGGTGGTTGCTACCTTAAGCATGTTATTAGAGTTGTATGAGTCTCTGCCTACAAAGGAGACAAGAATGCCACACACATTTTACAGTGAACCATTTGATTCCAGTTTTGAGTTCTACCTTATGAATCATTCATTTCAAATAAATAAAAACTGTTTCAGTCCCACTTCCATCTCCAGAGCCATCCATCTAGGATTAAAACCCCTCCAGTTTTGTTATACAGTGGCCTGATGAGTCCTTTGCTGAGTACTGTTGAGAGTAGGATATAGTATAACATCAGATTTAAGGAGTGGAAAAAATGGTAAAAATAAATAAATAGGCCATTGTGGTGTTATGTCTCATAATTAGACAATGGATTTTTAGTTATTAAAGTTTAAAATATGGAGGAAAATACACTTTCCTAAGTGGCTCCAGCTTACCATCTATGATCACAGCATTCCACTTTCCAGCTTTGTAAGGGCAGGGAGACAGGCAGAAGTTTATTAATACAGTGTAGATGTATGAAACGTGTCACAGGTGTGACATGTGTGGTTGTTTTCCATTCCAATAGGCTTTCTACTGCTCAGGGAAGCAGAACAGGTTAAACCGATCACTAATTTTTTTTCCCATGGGGATAATTTTTTTTTTGTTTTTCTTTACTCTTTTTTTCTCTCTCTTTCTTTCTTTTTTTCTTTTTTTTTTTTTTTTCCCTTTACTGCAAGACATTTTCCAGCAGTTTGCTAAATTTTAGCTGAAGTATTTAATGATTAGGTCCTGTATCTCACCATGTTGCTCTTTAATCTTTGTTGTGATTATCAATTAAATTCCACCTGACGATTTGGAAAAGTGCTTCCATAAACAACCAGTAAGTTATTTATATGAATATCTACAGCAGTTATTTAAGGAAAAACAACACATGTAGGTCTCTATAGCTGTAAAAGCTGCCTCTACAGGTTAACTAACAGCAAATAATATATATGTATGTTGATGGCACAAATGAGACATCAGCAGAATAGAGTCTGAATAGCCTTTTCTCACTGGGGGAAACTGCAAGCAGATAAGATGTGAAGAGTGGAAAAAAAGAAAAATAAGGCACATTTATTTGGTTTAATTTATTTATGATACAATATTGAGCCTTTATGTAAAATTAAGTAGACTAAATGGTTTATTAATTACCAAATAAAGTATATATTGCTCTTGATTCATACATCTACTTAATGTGTTATCTATCAATAAAATATTTTCTGTTGATTATATACTTCATGTATTCATCACATCAACATTTTACTTACGTAACGTACCACTAATTATTGGAACACCAATGTTTCCTCTTTCAAACAGCCTCTTCAACTTATTTGTGTCAGGTCTTGCCAAATTAATTAGGATGCTGTGCATCTCATTATTTGACTGTATTCAGATTTCATACTGCTGTACTTTGGTTGGAAAAAAGAGATTTCCCTGCTTCTTAAATAGTTACCAGCAAGCTCCATTTCCAGCTTTTTCTTTACTGCCCAATGCACCTGGGCATAATATCAAATTCTGGTGACATATGATGAACAACATGCTATCAATGACTCATTAAAAAAGGTTACTGGCTGATGCAAACATAATGCAGCACGTATTATTTAGCTTTATCAAATGACCTTTATTTAGTAAGTTATTAATAACCTTACCTTAAATACCAGTTCTCCTATCAGTCCATTCCATGACCCATCATCCTGAGGACTCCCATACTTGTGATCCGGTGCAACATAAATTTCATATTTAAAGCCGAGGTAAGTGGCCAAGGCTTCCAGCACATCTATTGAGAAGCCCTGATACTTCTTCGGTTTTCCCAGAACATTTTCAGACACCATAACAAAGGGCTCTTCCTAAACGGAAAACAAATGAGGAAACTCTTATTAAAGCAATTTCATGCAATATTTGGGTGCTGATTTTTTTAAATGTATAGGAGGAACTATTTAAACACTGTTTATACACAACTTTCCTACAACACATTGTTAGCAGTGTCTCTTACATTCTGTGAAATGCTATTTGTTATGTATTTACTTCAGTAGAGAAATTTAATTCTCTATTATGCCTTTCAGAAGTATATCTTCTGTTGCAATATTACAACTGAAATGCTTTTCAGTAATGCCTTCTGTCTGCACTTATGCTTGGCAGGGCAGACATACACTCATATGTCTGTCCATAAATACAGAGAGTTTCCACTGACTGGGCAAACACTGTATCTGACAACTGCAACTACTAATTCATGCTCTAAGGAATGAAAAATGTGGCAAAATAGGCCATACCGCAGAAACATGCATTTCTCTTGTCCTTCTGCTGTAATCTGAATCTGAATATAAACTGGTTGATTTCAAATAGTTCTATCCAAAGAACATCCATTTGATTAAAGGAGAATCACTTACGCGACTTAAGGGTACAAATAAGATACTGAAAGTTGGAATTGGTTGGCAAGATTTCAAAACAATATGCCTTTTTTTTTTTTTTTTCTCCCCCAAGAGCTGTAACTATTTCCTCTATTTTTTGATTAATATTTCTAATAACATTTTCAGAAATAAATTATTTTCTGGCTAACTTCAGTTTCTTTTTTCCCCTCTCTGTTATTCTTCCAGCTATTTAATTTCTAGGCATTTTCCTTCACATCTTTTTAAAATGAAACACATTATTCTGATATACTGCACATTATTCAGATCATATTTCTGAGCACAAAAAAAAAAAAATATCTGCCATAAATGGATATTACTTATGTTCATTTTCTCTGGGAACACCTGTCCGATCCACCTAAGTAGAGCAAAACGATCAAATCCCCCCAAAAAAGAGATGAGGACACTGTAAAAGTTTTTTGTTTTGTTTTGTTTTTAAATTTAAATGTGCTACATTTCTTCCTTTTAATTCTTTACATGGTGTTGTAATTTAGTATGAGTTTATCAGAAACGTATTCTGAGGTACAAAAAGTTAAGTCCGGCTCATAATGGCTTGGCCCTGATAAGCACATGAAACCGCCTCCTGATCACATCCTCCTACTCTGCATAACCCACAAGCATACAGAAGAAAACAGAGTTGATCTTCTGTAGTATCTGTGGCCTAGACTTTCTTCAGAGACATTTCTGTTGGTGTTTAAATAATAATTTTTTTTTTTTATCATTCTCCTACACATCTCAGTGACTTTAAAGCCAAAGTACTTTTCATAAATTTTTCAACAATACTTCAGTAAATATTTTTAGTTTGTTACTATGTCATTCTGTATGAACAGGTATCACTGAATTGTAGGCAGGGTGTTCCTGGAGTAAGAAAGCATCATTTGTAAATGTTTGAGTTAACATTCATGAGGATAGCCACATGTTGAGGATGCTGCCAAAGAAGAAAGGCTGCAACAAAACTGCACTGGCAAGATGTTCTTTTCTGATTGTGGGAAATCCAGAAAAAAAAAAACAACCACCCAAAACAAAACCAACCCCCAAACCAAACAAACAAAAAAAAAACCCACCAGGAAAAAAAAAAAACACAACACCAAAAAGTGGTGTTGACTGTCTCAGGTTATTTCCCAGTTATCAGATGGAATTTCTTTCTTTCAAATTATCCAAGATCAGCCAAATGGAATAAAAATAGAAAACAGCAAGTGCAAGTGAATTTTTAAAGTAGTTTTACAGTGCCTGAGTTTCGAGAACACTGAAGGAATTGAGATGACGTTGATGAAAGCTTCTCCTAAATGAAAACACAGAGTGAATTCAGCTTTTCTGATCACTTGGATGAGAGATTCCCTACATACAGACTCAAAACTACTGGAAAAAATGTTTCCACAAAATCTAAACACACAATGAATGAAATTCTAAAGATCTGTGTGTACGAAGGGTGTTTTAAAGTTGATAATTTTCATATTAGAAAGGATTTATTCTTATCGCTTCTAACTTATTAGAAATTAGTTGCCCATAAACTGAATTTTATTCAGTTACTTAAAAAGCAATTGCTAATTGTACTGATTTAAAACACCACTTAAAATGCAGTTTTTCATGACTGATTTCAATCTTTTATTAAGCTATGTAATATTGTTTGCTTTTGAGGGATTTACCAAAAAACCCCAGTGTCTGATATGCTATATACTTAATGAAATATAAAGTCAAATATCTTTATGCAAAGCAACTAACACTTCCCAATTTGTGTTGGAGCCTGGAGCAGCAAAACGTTTCATCATATTCCAAACAAAATAAATCTATTTCTGTGGCATTTTTTGGTAATAGTTTATATTTCTCAGAAGGCATTGAAAGAGGACAAAAATATTTGTCTTGACTTTTTTCCCCCCATAAATGCTGCAGGCTGAAATTATGTCCATTATCCTTTTGTACACTGTGAGGGTGCTGTGGGAGGTCCAGAGGAAAGACATATACAGCCCTACAGTATTGATGTTAAAATGATTGTCTCCATCCTTGAGAAAGAAGATCTTGCAGAAGGAAAATACACAAACCCAACCAATGCATTTCTTACCTACTGAACAGAAAAATAATGAGAACAGCAAATAAGCTCATAGAAAGTAGGTGTCAAAAAGTGACAAGCTAACTGATGAGTTTTGAGGTGGCAAAATTCACTTGAATGATGAAGCTTCCATTCGACTCCAATAAATTCAAGAAAATCCTGATGCACTTTCTTTCCAAAGAAAGTGATATTTCAGACTATAAAAGCAGGTCTTTCTCAGAGAAGCCATACAATTGCCATTCTTGGAGATACTCAGAACTCACCTGGTCACAGTCCTGAACAACCTGCTCTAACATTAAACCTGCTTCATACAGATGCCATGCAAGATCTCTTCAATACTAAATGGTTCCAGGATGCAGTGAAGTGATTCAAGGAAGGCCAGAATTCCTGCTTCTCCTTTCTTCCACTTTTGGAGACACCTCTCCAGGGGACTGATGAGCCTCTGTGGGGCAAGAGCAGACTTCACAGACTGTAAAGTCAGGGAAGTCTGGAAAAGCAAAGAAGTCACAACGACATGACTGAGGAGGGGAAAAAAATGGAAACGAATGGATTTCTCCCCCTTAACTTCTTGGTTTCACAAGATGGATGATCTGCCTCACTGGGCCTCAAGGCCATCATATATATTTAGGGGATGGCTTTGCATCCAACCTCTATGGAGATCCTTTAAGAGAGGAGCTACTTTCCTTCTACTTTAACCCCAGTGTGCCTCCTTGACAACTGAATGCAGCACTACTAAGACTATGATAAGAGCTCCTTTTCAAAATAGCTCCACTGTTATCACTGGTTTCTTCTTGGGATCTAAGCTGTGCTGTCCTGATGAAGAGGTAGATGGGTGTAAGACTTGATGTGGATCAAAGGATTTTTTACACAGTGTTGTGGGTTAACCTTGGCAGACAGCTAAGCACCACACAACCAATACTACCTGCAGCAAAATGAAAGTCAGCAGCAAATAGGTGAAGTTTATACTGGGTGAAGCTGTGCATATTGCTTTTTACAGTTATAAGAAGGCTAAGTTTGGTTCCAGGAACAATTACGCCCCAAGCAAGAGCAAGAGAAGCTGCAAAATGCTAGCAGACTAGCCTTCTTAGGAAGGCTAAAGGCAGACCCAAGATTAAGGCAAAATAGTGTAAAAAAAGGAAAGTGTTGGGAAAGATGGCATTATAGTACATTGGAGAAGGAGCTCACAAAAACTCTTGTCTCCATCCATTTACCTATTATCACTAGGTCTATAAAAGTTTTTAAGGAAGAAGCTACACATTAAGACTGACATAGGTTAACAACATACTACATATTAAGACTGATATAACTTAACACCTTCCTCCCACCAGAGGAACTAGCTACCTTCTCATGCAATAGCTCTGCTGATGCTTGCCTCCTTTATTAAAGTAATTCTACTACTCAACCACCACAAATCTACTCAATTTTTGTAAGGTGAGTTGATCTAATTGCCAGGGGTACAGACAAATGCCAGTCAGGACAAGCACTGGAGTAAGACTGTACAAGCAGAAGTGATGGAAGTAGCAAGACTGTGCCCTTTATGGTATCAGGAAATGGTTAAGCAGCTCAGACATTTTACCCAAACCTATTTTCGGATGTTCAACACAATATTATTTGACCATATTTCATAAATTAGCGTTTATCATTGAAATAATTGGTTGAATAAGAAGAGTCATCATCACCATTTTCCATATGCAAACCAGAAATGCATGGATTTCATGACTTATACAGCTGAGAAGTGAATCCAAGCGTGCTGGGTCAGGGACAAATGCCTTATCCATAGACCGTTTTCCCTCTATCTTATTTTAATGCATTAAAACATTCATATCTGTGTTCATGAGTCTAAGTGCAGGAAAAACAGTAGTAGAAATCAAGCATTAGATGAGAAGAAAGGAATGTGGGATCCAAACATGAGATGTTGTGGAGGTTTGAACACAGGCGGCAGCCAGACGCCACGTGGCCGGGCCGACCCTTCACCTCCCCCTCCCCCGTGAAATAAGGGAGGGACAAAAAGGAAGAAAATTCGTGGGTTGAATAAAAAGAAAGAATTTACTAAACATAACAAGAGAACAACAGTAACAATAGTGAGTCCAAAAAGAAACAGGTAAAATGCAGCAGTGGCTTTACTGAGCACGGCGACGCACCCCCCCC